AGTAAGATATGTAGAGAAACTGACAGTATATGTAGCTAAAGGACCAGGGGAGTTGTGTAATATTTAAATATCCAAATGATAGAAGCATCTACGAATCCGGCTGTATGTGTTGAATCAAATTGCGTTGACTTTCTGCAAACATTATCAAGCAAATAAATATTAATGCTCTTGTAAAGTAGAAAAAGCTTCGGTCAACAAGACTATATTGAACACATTACGTCTGTTATGAATGGAACATATAATATTTAAAGACTTTTAGTCATTTTACTGACAAATTTTCTCGCAAGAAATCTTAATATATAAAAAGACAAACACTGAGTCCATTCTTTAACAATTAGTATTGATAAAGATTTGATCTAGATTTGTTGTCATTATGAGCGAACGGTCCCACAAACTATCAAAAAAGTGATTTCCAAAAAACCTATTTCTTCTGGAGATAAATTCACAGAAATAATCGTTTCTTTTTTCTGTAGCTTTCCACAAATTCTACAATAAGTATTTTTTTTTTTTGTTTTTGCGGAGAGGAGTTTTAAAAATGCCTTATGCATCGTCCTTATGTCGTCCAAAATAGTGGTATGCCCGGTTTGTACGGACTAAAAACAAATCCCCCCATGTACCAGACCGTTTCTATCCTGGAACTTTATCAGGAATACTTCAGGATAGGATCCCTATGTTGGTTTTCCATTAAATTTTTTTTTTCTAGCCTGTGTCCACGCCTTGCTTATGTTTATTTGTTTTTATCTGTTTAAAATGAGTATTATAAAAATACAGTTTCTGTGCATACATAAACGAGCAGAGAGAAGAGCAATAACAGTTCCATACTCGTATTTCCACGGTCTCATTTAATGGCTTCTCAAGATCTAATCTTTTTATATGAGGGGCATGTGAACTGGGCCTACTTTTATTGGATTTAGTCGTTGAAATAGTAACTAAATTGTGCACCAGTAATACTGTACTCCTAAGGTGTTTAAAAGCCTTAAATCTATTAGTTGACTATAAAAATTAATATACGTTGCATTCAAATCGTAAGGAGGCTAGGGAGAAGGAACACATAAAAAATTAATAAATATTAGCAACAAACAAAAGAATCAAAGTTTTTTTAAATAGTAAAAAAAATAGTTTTAAAAAAAATAATTTCAAAAAAGTTATTTGATTTTTAAAAAAATTGTTTTATAAAAATAATTTGAAAAATTTGTTGTTTATTTTTTAACTGACTATAGGTCACTGTTTTTCAATAAAAAATTCAAAATCCTTTGTTTGATGTTTTTTATTTAATTCTATATTTAATTCTATATTCTATATTTAATTTAATAAATAATTGTAAACAAATTTCATTTCAAAAAATAGCGGAACTACTGAGAACTACAATATATATTTTCATTTAATGTATTTATTTATATTTATTTGATTTAAGAATTTTTTTAGTTTAACGAATTTTTTGATTTAATTAATGAGCTATGCCAGGAATCTATCCATAAAATATACGCCTACTATATTAAATACAAAAAGTACACCTAACCCGGGAAATATTGTTACAACCACATAACGTTCCTGTGAATTAAAAATTTAATTACCTTGTTTTCTAACTATTATACATTTTATTAAATTTAAACTTATTTGATTTCTATTTTCTACTAATTTAAAAATAATTTTATGGTTTTTCAAATGTTGTAGTTATCCTTGACACTGACACTGATCTATATTTCCAACTAAAACAACAACAACAATAACAACAACTGTAACTGTGATAATAATAAAAACAAACAAAAGCAATTAAATGGCAGCACACAACCAATATTCGCGTTACAACGTCCCGCCCTATATGCTCGTACTAGGTAGATATATAGTGTGGGACGTTGGGCATCTGTAAACAGCACACGTTGCAAACAGCGACCGCAAATATAATAAACATACACATAAACACAAACAATTACACAAACATTTTTAATACATTTTTTTTTTGTTAGCAAACCTAAAAAAGTCTATTTCGTCTGCAATTCATATTACCAACATTAAAATCAAATTGCAAATTGCAATTCCAACAAAACAAACAAACTCCCCCTTACCCCCCGAAATCATACTATGGTACATATACTCATTTAAAAAAAAAAACCTATTTCAAATAAAAGGAAGCAAATTAAGAAGTGCACCCTTAATTTTCGTTGTGAGTATTGCACTCGACCTTCGGAAAAGCTGGCGCACACCCTACTCACACCCGTTGCCAACCACTTTCGCTTAATTTCTATTACTGACGGCGCGACATTCCCGTTGCCGTTAGTATTACCGCCGTACGGTTGTTATTTTACTAGTATTGTCATTGTCTTTGTTGTTCAAACTGTACGGCAATAAAAAATTTTTTATTCCCGACGTCAACATAAGAGTTCTGTTTGCATTTCTCATACTTCATATTAAAAAAAAAAAAAAAAAAAATATGTCGTACAACAACAACTACGGTAAAAGGAACAGAGGTCGCTGAGAGTTCTGGTACTATTGTACTGGGCTGAAAACCTAGTGCGACTGTTTAACATTTTTCTACTGATTACGTGCATTTTACTGTAGTTAATTTTTTTAACTTCTCATTTCTCTTCGGGAAATACTCCCCCATTTCTTTTGGGCATATCGTGTCGTGCATTTGCTTATCCGCTGGTACCCGCTTGTGTTCTTTGCCCGGTTTTTTGTAGTGTTTACTTTACAACGTATTTACTTGTTTGCAAGGATTAACAATAAAAACAGCGTTGCGCTCTGGTAAAAGGACCTGTTATCACCGCGTGCTTCTTTATTCGACTGTTAATGTTGATGTATAGTTCTTGTTGTTATTGTAGTTGTTGCTGTAGTTATTGTTACTGCATTTCTTCATAAATGTTAAAGGCTTTTCTTTAAACATAACGTCGGCTTTAGGTTGGCATTATTAAATGAATCAAATTATTCTTTACATTAACTGCATTGGTAATTCCCCTTATTTACTTAAGGAATTATGAATTCCTTTTTGTCGCTGTATTTGCTTGTTTTTTAAGGTATTTGCATCTACCGACAACAATTGCCAGTAGTGACTTTTTGCCAAAGGATGAACTTTAATGATTCGACAATCGCCACGCTTTTGTATACCTATGTAATTTGAAAGTACTATGCTTTAAAGTATAAAATATAAAATTTAAAATCTAGAAATAATTTTTGTGATTTATGACGACAATGACTGTTTTATATATATATATTTGGCCATACTTAGGATAACTGTAGGGTCACCCAAAAATTTAATTAAATAAAAATACATAAAATTTTTTGTTGTTGCAATTCAGTACTGTTCGAAACTTGTCTATAAAATATAAAAGTTTGAAAATATGTTTATTTGTGTATTTTTATATAAAATTTAATAGTATTTATACCTATTATATACTCGTATAGTTAATATAAAACTGAATTTAAAACATTATAAAAGAGCGCTGTCTAAATGAAAACAACAGTTCTAACTGAAATAGTCATAGAGAAGTTTCAAACATTAGTGAGCTACTACAATAAAAACTATTTTTATATTTCGAGTATTGCCAAATACCCATCATCAGTGGTCTTCAAATTATTTCTTGTGTTTATTTATTCGTAAATAATTTTTTGAGGCTGCAAGTACCAGGAATCGAAGTCATGCCCTGCCAAATTTAAAGTTCAGAGTCAGTGCTCCTTAACCACCAAAGCCATACTTGACTTTTATGTTCGCATATTTTTCTGAAGTCTTGTTAATTTGCTGTGAAAGTTTTATTAACAAATTCACTTGTTTTATTTATATTAGAACGAAATCAAAAATCAGTTATAGAATAAATGAATTAATTATTCATATTTTAATTTTTATTTTTAATGTTAAATTTCAATACTATTCTTTTGTAGAGACATTATTTATTGCATGAGTTTATTTGTGTATAGGACCTAATCTAGGCATGAAACTTCTCTATTAAATATCACAGTTTCTGTTAAATAAAAAATAGTCACTTCTGTCATATGGACGTTAAAACAAACTTCGAAAATTCAGCGATATTTATATAAAGCACTATATAAAAATAAAAAGTAAATTATTAACTTTTATTTTATTCACATAGACCTATTCAGAAAAAAAAAATTCTCCAAAGTTATTTTCAAAACCCCAAATAATAACATTTATTAAAATATATATATAACCGCTTAATAATCATAGAAGCTAAAATTAAGCACGAATCTCATCGAAAACATTTTTCCAAGTCTCCCCAAATTTAAATTAAAAAATTAAATAAATGAATAATGAAAATGTGGTCAGCATTAAGAATTCAACAGCCTTCAACAGACCTAAGGATCTAATGTCAAAAATTGCTTTACTTTTAAAGGCCAGACAATCTGCATTTCTTTGCATTTCTACTTAGAGTTATTTTGAGTGAATGAACGTTTGTTTTATATACATAAATACATATATGTATATCTGGTATATATGTCTATAAATAAACGAACATTCACATCTTGAGTTTGAATGACTTATGTCTGGCGCATACAAAATTCGTACTTCAAAAAACAAAAAAAAAAAAAAAAAATAAACTGCAACAATGTTGGTTTTAATTTTAAACCAAAATAAAAAAATACAACAAAAATAGAAATGAAACTCCTGAATATCCTTGCAAGCTAAACATAATGGCACAAATGATATCCGAAATGTATGTGATGCGATGTGATGTGATACACAGTTGTTAGCTTTAAGTCATAGAGTATTTAAAATGTAACACCCTGTTGTACCCTTGAAAATATATTTTGCTTTTTATTTTTATACGGAAACATAATGCAGTTACGGAAATAATCTGTAAAGGAACAAGTTCAATACACTAAGAAGATGATATAAAAACATTTTGTTGAGGGAAATTTAAGAGTAAAGGAAATTTTTTCTTTTACGCTCTCGCTCTCTCTTTCTTTCACTCTCCTTCATTATAGTCATGCGCAAACTCCCCCATTTCAAACAAATTAATTTATTATTGTTCTCTTTTTCATTGCAGCAAGACCAGCATTTTAACGGTATTTTCACCTGTACGAGAAACTCAAGGAAGACACGAAGTATACTTCGTGCATAATTTCACTGACGACTCTCAATTGCAACAGTTACATTTGATGAAGTAAAGAGATTCGTGATATTGTGTCGAGAAAGGTACCACACGGTAAGGACACTTCTTCAATGTTTATTTAAAAGAAATCCTAACGCCAGCCGTAGTCAGTTCGTGTTTAAATCTCATGTCGTAAGGTTGATAGACGCTTTGTAGGATTTTTCATGCGTGTAGTTCGATAATTGCGGACTTCTGTGAATTATGTTTTGAATTACTAAGTGAATAAGGAAAAAAATTTAAATAACACTTAAATATATATTAATATATAGAGAACAAAATAAAATATACAATTTAATTAATAATAAAATAATATTTAAGCTCAACATTGAAATATATGTGCTCAATTTATAAAATATGTTGTTTAGACTTATGTGAAATATAAAAGAAAAAATTAAATCCTTAAGAAATATAATAGTATTTTGAATAAAATTTAAAATGTGTCGGAAATATTACTTAAATTTTGGTGCACTTTATGTGCTCCTTGTACTACTAATTGTGGATAATGTCCATTCGGATTTCGAAAATACTTGGAATTTGTATTATGAGCCGCCTTGCTGTTTGGGACATCACATACGACACCACAAAGGTAAATTGTTTAAGAATAATTTTAAAAGTATTTGAGTTAAGTTTTTAAGAAATGTTTGGAATTGTTGAAAAATATGATTTTATTACAAAACTTTCACGACTTATAATATTAGTTAAAATTATTTAATATGATTTAAAAATTATGGCTTTTAATGTATAATTGTTTCATTTAATTACACTTAAAATTTACTAACTATATTACTATATTATAATATGTTTTATTATTTTTGTTATATATTAGTTAAAGTGAATTCTAAAAAGTACCTTTTGGTTAATAGGGAATAATAATTTAAATTTGGCAGGGTACGAGTTCTATCTTTGGTACTTGCAGTTTGAAAAAATTATTTACAAATAATTAAATATAAGAAATAATTCCAAGACCACAGATGATGGGTATTTGGCAATACTCAAAACAGCTGTATGGTCAGTTAAAAATTCAATTAATTAATAAATAATAATATTTTATTGTTGTAGTTTACTACTGTTCAAAATACCTCTCTATTAAAAATAATAGCTTATATTAAGAACTTAGTTTCTTTCGGTAGAACGGATGTTAAAATACAATTATAAATAATAGGTTTGATGGTTGTATTTAAAAGTGATCATTTTTTATTATTAGCTCATATGGATACAATATATTCTTTAATGCACAATTAAGTTCTGTCCTTTTGTTATACACTTCATCGAACTATAGAAATTACTTATAATTTATTTGATTTCATCGAATTAGGGATTCCTCTTGTTAAGACATAAGACATTTTGTTATATTTATTATACCTAATTTTATTTTATAGTTTCTTCATATCTGATTTCGTTTTTATTTTTTAGATTAAATATATTAATAAAAATTTTAATTAAAAATCATTTGATTTACTAAAAATTTATCATTTAGAAGAAATATTCAGAAAAGTGTTTACAGGGATTAGTTTAATATTTTTTAGATTAAAGCTCATAACAACAATGATTATATCTTGTGTTATAATATGTATACAAAGAGTTGATATATCTTTATTCAAAATTATATCAAGTTTTTGAAATTAATAGATATTAGTGTTCATTGCTGAAATATATATATCACTGATATATGTATACTTTGCAATATTGCAAAAATTTTTGGTAATGCGAAGTATTTCAATAAAAAAGTTATTTATTGAATAATTTAAATATATATTTATGTGAAATAATTTCTAAAATATTTATGTTATATGTTATAATGAATTTAATCCTTTATTAATACTTTAGAATATATAACAGACAAAAATTTCTATAGTGTTATCAGTTATCATTGTAAGTCTTCTGTATTAAATTATTAACAATGTCACTAACAAATTTATTGCATATGCTTAACATATATGATAACATAATTATGTTTTATATACATACATTTATATATATTATTCATATTTATCGTAAAATTTTGTTTTATTACAAAAAACATTTAGTTTATATGAGACTTTCATAAAAGACAGCTAATATCTACCTAAAGAATTGATAATTAATATAACTTATATATCTAAATACAAAATATACTAATATTCTATATGTGTTCTAGAGATTAAAGCAATTTTCGATCTCAAAAAAAGACCTAAATCTACTAAAATGAATTCATATAAATAAAAGCTAAAGTTTTGTTATAAACTTCATTATGTTAAGAAATTATTAATACGTTAAATTGCTGCAATCTAGCATTAAAAAATTTTATTTAAGTTATTTGATTTGATTGGCATTTATAAAACTTTGATTATATTAATGTATATTAATGCAATAGAGAATAAAAAAAGTCTTTTAAAATCATATGAATTATAGAGGAACGAAACTATAATTTTTCCTATTCGAACATATAACACTTAGTGGTGTAGCCATGATTATGTCAAGGGAAGGATTAACTAGAAGGTATTTGACATCAAAGTTTTTTGCTATTCACTTAATTAATTATAATAAAAGCTATTATATTATATATAGAAGTATGCATATCAAGAAAGTATTATTTTTATTGGTATTATTTTCAAAAGTTTTATTAAAAGACTATGTTTATTAAAAACATAAAACTAACTCTTCAACTAGTATCAAATCATTTATAATTTTTTAGCCAATCTTTCTAATATTTTTCTTATTAAAATCTCCAATTAATTAAAATCTGAGTTGTAGATTCTTTGTCTTTGAATTATATTGTCAAAGAAGGAGATCTAACACTCTGCTTCTCTCCTCAATACAATAACTGCATTTTATACTTTATTAGTTTTATAGATTTTTCAAACCACTAGACAAAAAATTTTTAGATTGTTTTATGAATCTGGTCATATCTCTCTTAACTAACTTAACAGATTTCAAGTTTTTTTATTTCATAAATTCGTGACCCATAACGTTTTTGGATTCTAGTTTAGAAATCTGTTTCTAAATCACATATTATCGAATCATGTTTTTGACTCAGTGATATGTGATCATTACTCTTTTATTTGTTAAAACTGTAACTATAATCTAGCTTATATTAAATTCTTTTCTTCTTTTAGGAAATCTTTCAGAGATATATTTGTAAACTATTCTTTAATCCATCCTCCTTCGCAAAATCCTGACTAAGCCGCTGATTCTCGTTATATAAACTTATTTATATATTTAGATACTTATTGCTAATTTACTCTTTAACCCATCCTATTGCGAAAAATCTTGCATAAGCCTTTGAATCCTCTTATGTGGAATTAAATTCTGTTAGTTCATAACTATTGCATTGTTTTTTCATCTCCTTATAAGAGTGTTTGGAGAGTGATGCCCTATTGTCATGAAGAATTTATGAATAACTTAGGGAGTTGACAACAAGGGATGAACTAATAAATATTTCTCAATTATGTTTTTAAGATTCTCTAACTCTTGTCCTAGTTCTGTGTTTTGTAATAAAATTCCTTTTGCTAAGTCTTTCAATTTCAATTTTAAATAAAGAAATAAACAAGCAATAAATAAGTCACTGGCAATTAGTAACTGAACACATCTCAGCCAGGATTACTTTTGCAAAAGCACCAATTTCGAACAGCTTATCTCTAGGAGCAAATCTTTTTAAAGTAGAAAAGGAAAGTTGAGTATATAAAAACAACACTTGAAAACTAATTAAACCCTAATAGCAAAAACTCCAAAGTCCAATTATAAAAAAAAAAAAAAAAAAATATAGGAAAAATAGAATAACTCGGAAAAACTCAGAAAAAAGCACAAACAAAAAGTTTTTAATTTTGCAGCTAAAACCGAAGAAGAAAAAAATCGCAAAAGCTAAGGAGTAGGAACTAAAGTCTGGTACGCAAGAGTGATATTGTAAGAACTTTATAAACCAATAATAAGAATAGAAGGGCGTAAAAAGGCTAAAAAATCATAGCAGAAAAAAGTTCAAGAATAACAGACAATGTCGAAGCAGATAAAAGTAAAAAAAGAGTGAAGCAAACCAATGAACGAAAACAAAACACAGCTGCAAGAGACGAGTTGGAAATAATAGAAAATCCTCTTAAAGTAAAATTATTTCGGTAGAAGGATTCTTGTATAGGAAATGAAACACTTTGGCAACAGTAAAGAATTTCAATTCAATCGGTTTTTTCTTTTAATTTCGGTAATACTAGACTGAGGGAAGAGCTTCCATGTTATGTCATTTTGTTATTTTTATTGTTGTGGATAATCTTCGACAAAGCTTAAAGACTTAAATTAAAGGATAACAGCCTAAGAATAAGAGACAACTGGAAAATTGTTGTATAGAATTCGGATGAGGAAACAACATTGGAAGTGGCTTTTAAATGCTTGTAATCTAAACAAGAATTAAGTATTTTTTTCGTTCAGTAAAGCATAAATGTTAACTTTATTTCAAAAAAAAAAAAATATTAATTTTGTAGTCATTATGACTAATAGTACATTTTAAATTTCATTTAAAAATATATATTAAAGGATGTATATAATAAAAAGAATTCAAACCATATTGTAAATTATATTGCATTGTAAACAATATTGTATAAATATTATATCGAAAGATAGTTGGTATTATTTTAAATTTTGATAAAAAGAACTTACGAATAAAAAATGTAATAAATTTTAATTATTTTAAAAAATTAGAAAACATATCTAAATATTTCGATAAATCCATAATTATAAATATATTCAAACATCTTAAATCTTCATATATAAGCAAGTCATCAGTCCATCTTTGCTTTATTTTTGTATCGCTTTTAGTACGACAGCTGAATTCACTCATTAGGAACTACAAAAATTTCAAAACGTCAACCTAAAGAAGATATTTAAAATTCATTGATATGTCAGAAACTTTGATATTTATAGATCTCATTCTATTGAAACTAGTACCAAGTACATGCAGATAAGAATATCTGTACTTCTTTTCTCTAGCTTCGCACTAAGATGTGTTCAAACCACGCACAGAATTGGACCGGTATTCGTTAGATATTGGAGATAAAGAAAATATTTATTTAGTTCTACTATGTATCTAAAAACAAAAATGCTAAAGAGTCAAAGACCAGGCTTGTCACCGTATGAAGTTGCACGTTAACAACCTTCATGAAAAAAATTCGCTTCTATTTACTTTTTGAAGGTCTAGATCTCTGTATGCTCCACGAGAAAAAAAGGACTACTGTAAATAAGTAAGTAGGATCTCTCAGCACGTAGCTAAATAATTTAATAACAAAACAACCACAACTATCTAAGAGAAGTCTTGAAAAAATGTTTAAAATATATTTTTTGTGAGCATATGGTCAACTTAAACGTATTTCATAATTTGTTATATATATTACTTTGTTAAATTTTAATAAAGGTATACATAATCTCAAGAAATCCGGTAACAATATAAAGTACCAACAATAAAGTATATTGACAATATATATTTTCTGTTGTTGCCACTTTACAACATTACTATCTTTTTGATACAAAGCACATAAGATCCGTCAAAGTCATAGTGCTCTGCTACACTGAGTGCCAGTACCAATATATATTCTATTTTATGTTACTCGATTACCAAACTTATTA